CCAGGGAAGCCGCCAATTGCCAGGGCAAGGCCAGGCCTCCACCCGCTGCCAGGCGAACGCTTTGGAGGAACGTTGCGGCCTGTCCGTCGCCGTTCTTCGGCGCTCGAGCCCGCGCCGCTGCCGGGGAGGAAAGGGCCAGGGTGCTGAGAGCCGGCCATGGGAGAATGGCAGCGGGCGGTTGCCAGCTCGCGCCCCTGCTCCGATTCCTGTGCCGGCGCCGCTTCCGCGCCCTCCCCGCCGGCGGCAGCCGCGTCCTTATCGCGGGGCTCGTCAGGGTCCTGCTCCCCATGCTGCTCTCGCTTGCTACTCTGCGACAGCCCCGCCTGGCTGGGCCCGCTGCCAGCGTCGCCCATGGTTTCGCGCGGCACGGTGGCTGCTCGGTCGGGAACGCCTGGCGAGGCCATGCGTGTCGGGGCGGGCCGCGCGGTTGGACTCCAGGCAGGGGCCAGATCGCCTCTGGCGACAGGGGCAGAAAGGGGCGCTGCCTTGCGGGGTGCGGGGGCAGGCCCCTATCGATAGCTTTCGCCGACGGACCTGTGCCCGCGCTCGCTCGCGGGCGCGCCCCCATCAGCAACCGCGAGGCGATGGCCCGATGTGGGGGCGCTGCGGGTAGCTCCGGCCGCAGGCGCGTTGTCGGGCATCGAACCTCGCGGGGCGTCCGTCGCCGCCCCCGACGAGGCCCCGGCTCGGAGAGGGGCTGCGGCTCGCTATCCGCTCGGGTAGCCGTGCTGCCGGGGAGGGGGGGCGAATGGGCGCGAAAGTCCCTCGACGCTTTTTTGGGCGTGAGATTAGTTTTCCCAGCTGTGTAAATGCACATTCAATCATGCTGCTTAAATTCTACTCGCTTGGGCGATGGAAGAAAAAAACGTCGTCTTCGTCAAACAAACTTGTCTTTACAACCTTGACGCGCCTGACCTTCGAACCACGATATTTTCGCTTCAACCCTGGGGCAACCTGATCACCGCCGCGAAGTCCAACCAATTTATTCCAACCTCGACTGACCGATTCAAACTGCTTAGCATCCTGGACTCTCAAGCCCTTCTATTTGATCTCCCGCGCCCTCCGCGCCACCGCGGCGGCCAACCTCTGCTTGTGGGCGCCGCCGAAGCTCATGCGACACGCCGTCCGCCGCTCAGCCTGACGTCATCGTTCGTCGCCGTCGTCGTCGTCGTCGTCGTCGTCGGCGACTCTTCCCGTTCCTCCTGTTCCTCCTCCTCATCCTCTTCCTCGTCCCAAACCTAGCCTATCCTCCACCTCTCCCTCCTCCCCATCACCACCTGTTTTCTTATGTCCTCCTCCTTCGCCTGCTCAGGGGGCCCCTGCTCCTGCCCCGCGGCTGGGGCCTGGGGGGCTCGAGGGCCTCGCCCGGGAGAGCCGCGAAGACCGCGTCGAAGTCTCCGTCGCCCATCGAGCAGCGATGCGAACGGTAAACGGGGAGGGCGTATGAAAATGGGCAGGAGGCACGGGATTTGGATGGATTGGGGCCAGAGCGGCCAAAAAACATGGTTTCAGTTAACAGAAGTGGCCGAAAAAGGGCGAGGTGGGCAACGATGGCGCGCAGAGGTGAGAGGATCACACGAAGACCTGACACCTGCAAGCGCAACTTGACGTCGCGCGAAAAAGACAACATAAGCATGATTCAAGTAATCAACATGGCCAAAAAAACGTATGTGGCATGTTGTGGCATGCTTCAACGCATTAGATGGATTGCTTGACCCTTGTCTTATGTGGTATGATCGTAAGTGTTGGCGTCCATGTGTTTTTGGCTGTGCCGCATGTTTGGTTTATTTGATTTGGTTGTTTGTGTGTGTTGCATGTCTTGTATGTCTTGTATGTATTGTCTTTCTTGTCTTCAATTATTGTCTGTATTGTCTTTCTTGTCGTCGAATATTGTCTTTATTGTCTTTCTTGTCTTCAATTCCTGTCTAGAGCGACTTCCTCCGAAAACCGGACAGGCCGATTTGTATCACATCGGACTCTATCAAACAATCGGTCATCAAACATATCCACCAACCAACCAACCAACCAAGTCAACCAACCGCCTATCCAACCGCCAAATCAACCAACGAATCCACCAACCGACAGGACAGCGGACTGGTCAACCAACCAACCACCCGAAACTTCTGCGATATTTTCACTTGGCAATAAAACGGGCATCACGGCGGGACACACATGGTTCAAACCCCCAATCACAAAATATGGCCAGCCAGTGCAACCTACTGGACCGACATGCAACTATTGGATATGATCCCAGGAAGGGGGAAAGAGGAACAAAGAGAGAGAGAGAGAGAGAAAACAACACCTCTTCAGGCTGTCCACCGCAGGAACAGTGGGCGAAGTCAAGCGCCTGCTGCTGGGCTGGGCGCCTGGGGACACCTTTGCGCCCAGACCCAGCGGACAGCCTGAAATCCTGCGCAAGGCAGCTGGGCGGGTGGGAGTGGAACAACGCGTGTTGCACGAGTGCTGCCCGCTGATACTAGACAGCACTGAAGGCGCGGGTAAACCCGCAGTGCCTGGTGCTCTCCTGGCGTCGACTGCCCACGACAACCATAGCCCAGGAGAAGCACAAGACAAGATACGACAAGACCGACAGACAAGACAGACAGGACTGACCAGAGACGGACACACGACAGACGCGAGGACGAAGACGACACCGCGGCCCCCAACGGAGGCACCATAGCAAATGAGAGCAGGGATTCCGTGGTGACTGGTAGTTTTGGCCATCTTCGTAAATTTTCCCGCCCATCCAATAACAAGTGGTTTAAGGGTCGGAGAAGCGAAGCAATAGAAAGAGAGAGAGAGAGAGAGATAGAGAGAGAGAGAGAGAAAGAGACCGCAACCAATATTTACGACCCCCCGTTACCGTTAACACCGCACAAAGAAATGTATTAGAACGGAACGGTTTTAACCGATCAATAACTGTAGCACCGTGCCAAACAGCAACAAAAATGCCCCCCCCTCCATCCGTGCAATGATTTCACATGGTTGGGACGAATCTGCGCGACACTATGGCGAGAACCACATTTTGAAGACGAGCTGCCCTTAATCCGAGACACCCTTGCAAGTTCTTCAAACAAGCGAATGTGCGCGGCGCTGAGGCGAGAGCCTCATCATCTTCCAGGTGGCGGAATAACGCTTCCTGGCGCGGGAAGGATGATCCTTTTGCCGGAAAGGAGGGGATCTGAAATACCTCACAAGGTCAATCCAGAGAGAGAGAGAGTTACTACACATCGGCACCTCTGATGAAAAAGGATGGGCCGACGGTGGTAAGGGGAGGTGGAGGAGGAGGAGGAGGAGGAAAAGGAAGAGGCTCTGACGCAACGGCCCCTGGAGCTGGCCGCAAGGATTGACGAAGAAAGCAAGAAGAGGAGAAGGAGGAGGAGAAGGAGGAGGAGGAGCAGGAGGAGGGACGGTGGAGAAGGATGACGAGAAGAAAGAGGCGGAGGAGAAGGAGGTGGAGGAGGAGGAGGATTCACTACATGCGCAAACGAGCCCGACCGCGCGCGGCTCGCCAGGCCGCTTCGGCGTAGGAGGTGCGCGTGGAAGCAAGTCAGTTGGCTGGGGGGCGAGGGAGAAGGGGCTCCCGCAGCGGGCCGCCACCGCGGCCGAAGCCCGCCCGTGTCGAGAGGAGGAGGAGGAATAGGAGGAGGAGGAGGAGGAGGAGGACGAAGAGGAGGAGGAGGAGGAGGAGGAGGAGGGGTCGGTAAGAGGGTAAGAAGAGGATGAGGAGGAGGACGAGGAGGAGAAGGAGGAGGAAGAGGAGAGGGAAAGAGAACTACTCTTAAGGCAGACCCAAAAAAGTACTGCCAGAGGAGGAGGAAGACAAGGGAGCAGGAACGGAGGAGGAGGAAGAGGAGGAGGAGGAGGAGGAGGAGGAGAGGGACAAGGATGAGGAGAAGGAGGGACGGAGGAGAGGAGGAGCTGTGGTGGACTGAGGGGGCGGATCCATCCTCGCCGCGGCCGCGGCGGGGCTCCTTAGTAGGACTCGCGCACCATGTCGAAGGACGCGGCGACGATTTGGGCAATGTTCGGCGTGTCGGACTCCGTAGCGTCGTTGGTGTGGTGCGGCTCGGGGATGCAGTAAGGCATTTGCGGAGTTGTCACCATGTCTTCGTTGTTCGGGGGGTTAGCCATCGGGGCGAAGAAACTGCGTGGCATGGGCCGCCCAAGTACCACTGCAAAAGGAACGTCAGGAGCATCAGGAACACCAGGCGCAGCATTATGGAATGCTTGCGACGAGGCGTCGGATTCGTGAATGTAGTCGTGGCCGTGCATGGCGGCAGAGAGAGACGTGGGCTCAGCAGCAGAGCGTCCGAGCAAGCCGTCAAGTAGTGGAGATGCGTCATCTGTCGTGGGAGTAGGCCTCAGGGGAGGGGTGCCGACGGGTACTCGGGGCAGGGCGTCGGGATGAACGCGGGTCGTGGGCGGCAATGTAGTGGGGGATTCGCCGTGTCGTAGGCGATCACGTGCCGCCCGCAGCGCCCGAAGATGCGCGTCGTAGGAGGAGGTGTTACAGGGCGCCGCCGGCTGGTTTCGGAGCTCCAGAACCACATAGTCGGACAACACCAGCCTGGAGACCGTGTTCGGCATGGAACGCTCGTGTCGGGGATCGGCAGGGTAGTCGTGACGTTCGCCAAGGCCCAACCGCGCGAGGGGGGTGGCGTGGGTGAAGGTGCGAGGGAGGCACGTGAGATGCAACAATCGTGGGCATACCAGGTAGTGCCCGATGGCATCAGCGTCAGGGCACCCTAGAGCACAACTGCGGCGGTCCGGGTGCACATACATCCTGTGCGAGGTGTGCCAACCGCCAGTGACCGTCTTGAGTACTGCCACCGCCACGCAGGCGAGATCTCACAGAAATGACCACGAAGCCGAACGGAGGAGAGGAGGAGGAGGAGGAGGAGGAGGAGGAGGAGGAGGAGGAGGAGGAAGAGGAGGAAGAGGAGGCGAGGGAGGGACGGAGGAGGAGGGACGGAGGAGGGCGCGCCGCAGGCGCAAGCCTCCAGCGTGATCATGGGCTCCTTGCCGCCCTCCCCGAACCCACCGGATGAGAGGCCCTCGAAGAGGCGCCGGACGTCCTGGGTGGCCGCAGGGGGGAGGTGAGGAGATGGATGGTGCATGTAGGAAGTGCAAGACGGGGCCGAGGAAGGAGGAGGAGGAGGAGGAGGAGGACGACGACGAACAGGAATGGAGGGACAGTCCGTAGCCACTTTGGCTCAAGCCGCCCACCAGCGGGCGGAACCCCCATTGCTCAAGCCGGCATGGCATGGTCGTCCGGAGTTGGTGCGATTAGTGGTTCTCCGCTGTGAGGTTCGAGAACGGTTGCACGCAACGAAGCGGCGCACGCGTCACACAGAACTGCGCAGGACCGCAAGGAGGCGCGTTTGCGTGCCAGGGATGCTGCAGACAGGGCGATCGCCCGGCTGACAGCTGATCTGCGTCAGGCGCGCGCTGTGGAGGTTCAGCTTCGAGGTGCCCTGGGCGCTTTGGTCAACGACTTCGAGTTGGCTGATCGGGTTGCGGCTTTCGTTCCTGCACTTCTGGATCTTCTTCGAGGTGTACCTCCTGGCCATGACAAAGTCATCATGAGGAATATGGCGCTGCACGCGGATACGTCCATCAGCGTAGTGGGCATGAAGCCCCATCAGTTACGGCAGCACCAGCGGGGACCTCGGCTTGAAGCGCGCCAGGCGAAGCATCGGGCTTCGTTGGCGCTTGCAGGCCTGAACCCCGCTGCTCCTGTGTTCGTGCTCTCCTGGGATGTTGGGCTGGCGCCTGGTGTCTGGCAGCCTGCGCCGCTGGACGTCGTAGACGTGGTGCCGCAGCAGCGTTTCCCTTCTCCGCCATCGCTCGCCGATTCTGCAGTTGCATGTGGGCCTTCGGTAATCTTCCCTGGTTTGTGGGAGTGCCTGGAGAACATCGCCGCGGATAGTTGCGAGGACAGCCCCAACGACGATGACGTGGTCTACGAGGTGGAGGAGGATACGGAGTCGCACTCTGGCTTCGAGGTCGGCGAGCGGGCGCTGCGTCCTGCCCAGGGGTCCCACTTTCCCTGGGTTGGCGTCCCTGTGAGTGGCCGCGGCTTCGACGGGAGCATCGTCGACGTCGCTGGCGCAGTTCATCAGGCGGGTGAGCACGAGGAGGCAGTTCCTGGGACAGCATGCGGCATGCAGTGGGTGCCGCGGGGCCTGCCGCCCGACCCTGGAGAGGGCCGCCTGTTCACTTCGAAAACTCTGTGCTGGTTGGATCGCTGTCTTTCTGGTGTATTCGGTTACCGCGCCGATGGTTTCTTGCGCCTGTGCTGGCATTCTTTGTTCTCGGCATCGGAGCTCCCTGGCACAGCGAACGTGTGTTGTATGTGGCTGCCGCTAAGATCATGCTGTCGCTTGGGATCCGAGGACTCGGTATCCGCAATTCGGCCCGAACGTCAGCGAGGTGCACCAGTATATGAATATTCCGCTGCAGTTTGCCTCTTGCTGTCGCAGATGCACGGTAAAGGGGCCTGGGCGTTGCTGCCGAAAAAGAATGGAGGGACAGAAGGTTTACGGCGGCATCTGCTGAAAATGGCCACTGGGCAAGAGGATGGGGATGGGGGAGGCGAGGAAGGAGGAGAAAGAGGGAAAGGAAGTGGAGGAGGAGGAGGGAAGAAGGTGGGGAGCCACAGGCATCCAGACGTAGTGAGCACGCGACTCGGCGTGCAGGGCTGCGGCTCCATATCGAACGAAACGAGGAAGGGGGAGGAAGGATGATGAAGGAGTAGTGGGGTCATGGGGAAGGGGGGGGGGACCAGCGGGAGGGCGGGGCAGAAGGCAGGAGCATGGGAGGGAGTGGCCCGGCGCAGGATCTGAGGGAGGGAGCACGCCGAGGCGGATAGGCGGGGAAACGCGCGTCCTCTTCGGTGGTGCGCGAGTCGGAAGGCGCCATCAAAGACGACATCATGTTGTTGCAGGCAGTAATGAGCCTCTGCCCCACCCATGCTTGCTCTTTCTCTCCTTCTCTCTCTCTCTACCTCTTTCTCTCGCTCTCTCTATATCTCTCACTCTCATATCTACATCGTCATTGCGATATGAATATCTATATATACATGCAACACATTGCGAGATGTGTATATTTACATATCGACGAATCGCCCTCTCTCACAATGTTTCCCTTGCTGTTGTATGTGTTTGGTCCTCTCTCTATATGCGTGTACATACATACATACGTGTGTGTATCCCTCGCTATCTCTCTGTCGCCCTCTTCCTCTGTCTCTCTCTTTCTCTTTTTTTTTTTCTCTCTCTCTCTCTCTCTCCCCCTCCCTCTTTGTTGATCGCCCAACTCTATACGCAGATACAAAAAGAACCACCCTTCGGGTGATCCAGGCTTTTTTTCCTGAGGGGGGAAAGGGTGCAACTCTCGCTTTGCGATGGGCGTCGTCGGAAAAACAACCACGGGAAGACCACGCCACAGCGGGACAACCACCGAGCAACCACGGGGTGAAACCAGAGAACCACCAAGGAGACAGCCGCCGGACAACCGCTGGACAAATATACAAGAAATCCCCGGCGCAGAGACGCGGACAGCCGCCGGGACAACCGACGGGGGGGCCACCGCCCGCCCGGGGCGGGGGGGGGGGGGGGAGGCCTGGTCTTAGGTCGGGCGTGTCCTCCTACAGGCGGTATTCGGAAAAACAGAAAAGCCAACACATACCTCAAAATAGTCAACAAATCGTCCTCAGACTATGTTTCGACTATTTTTGAGCATCCCTCCTTTAGAGGGACACGCCCGGCTTAAGACTAGTAGAAGAGCAGCCTAAACCTGAACGATGCGGGGATATGCCTCGCACCCGCGCAGTCTCGCCCAGTCTGCGCGCGCGCCACGCACCGCAGATCGAAAAAACAAAGACTGGTTTCCCGGGCTCCCTCCGATATCGGCCCGCAACATATACATAGACATATAAGAATCAGGTGGCCGAAAAATCATTCACTGTCCCTGGGTGCGTGGCTGGAGTGATATTCCGCGATGTGGACTCTCGTTGTTGTTGTCGGTGTTGTGGTTGGTGTTGTTGCTGGTGCTGTTTGTTTGCTTGTTTGTTTGCTTATTAGTTTGTTTGTGTTTGTTGTTTGTTATGTTTACTGTTGTTGCTGCTGCTGTTGTTGGTGTTGTTGTTCAACTTCCAGTACGGATGAATATTTATGGTTGCTCCCCCCTCCAGAACATATGTGTTTAAAATTGAAGTGCCCCTCCCGGGGCTCGCACCCTGTTTTATCCGGGAAAGTCTTCGTCCTCAAAGTGCGCCCCTGGCCCCTGGTTTACAACAACGGCGGCTCCCGCCTGATACTTCCTCGCGATGTACGGAGGATTCGCGCCCTCGCAAAGAAATTCCTTACAATCTATCCAAGGATCGCGCTCTCGCTAGTCGCCTGTGACTTCGTTGAAATGTAGCCATTCAAGAATCGCGCTCTCGCGTGGAACATCTTCATAAGTTGCTTAGGTGTCGCGCTCTCGCCTGAGACGTCGTGGTGAATTATGCAGGACTCACGCACTCGCGTAGCATACGTGTTCTGAAATTGAAGTGCCCCTCCCGGGGCTCGCTGTGTTTCTACGGGGGAAAATTTCTACCAGGGAAAATCTTTCTGCTCAAACTGTGCCCCTGGCCCACGGTTACAACAACAAAGGCTCCCGCTTGATATCTCCCCACAATGTATGTTCAAATCGCGCTCTCGCGAGGGACTCCCTCATAACTTGATGTAGGAATCATGCTTTCGCGTGGGACATCCTTGCAGTTGATTCAAGCGCCACGCCCTCGACACTCAGGAATCACGCTGTCGTTGTGGATTCCATCGAGATAAATTGGGGAGTCGCGCTATCGCGCGAGACTTCCTTGCGACTCATGCAGGACGCACGCTTTAGCAACCCGCCTGTTCGACCTGGCAGTTCAGGCCTGCCTTCCCGATCCGCCCGTTCGGGGCTGCCCTCCCGATCCGCCCGTCTGCTCCTGCCACGCGCTTCCTGCTCACAGCCCCCTCCTGCTACTTCTCTCGTGTTCCATCTTCCTCCCTCCCCCTTGCCCCTTCCTTCCATCCGTCCTCTCGTTCTCTGCCTTGGGAACTGCACGAAATACAAAAAGGCTGCAGGTAAGAAAGAAACACCTCGAAGGGGGCACGATCGAAGACGACAGGGGCGGGTATCGAGGGCCTGGGATATAACTGTTGGGTGACACGCGAGCAGGGAAACGCGAACAGTCTCGAATATATGGTTGTTGCTGCTGTTGTGATTGTTGTTGCAACTACTGTTGTTATTGTTGCTGTTACTGTTGCTGTTGTTGGTGAACTCCCACGACTGAATAGCAAATATTGTTGATCCCCCCTCTGGCGACCATGCGTTTTTCAATTGAAGTGTTTCCTCCGGGGCTCGCACCGTGTTTTTTCATGGAATGTACTAAACTCAAATTGTGTTGTTGGCCCTCAAGTTACACGGCTCCCGCCTAAGACTTCCTCACAATTTAGCCAGGACCCCCGCTCCCGCCTGCGACTTCCTTGCATTTTACTCCAGGTTCGCGCTCTCGCTTGGGACTTCCTTACGCTTTATGCAGGAATCGCTCTCTCGGCGCTCTGGAGTCGCGTTTTTGCTGGAGATTTGCTTGCAATTTACTGAAGAACCGCACTTTGGCGTGGGACTTTCCAACAATTTACTCAATCGCCGCGCTCCCGACACTCATGCACCCTGGAGTCGCGCTCACGCTTGGGACTCCCTTCGCAACGTACTCAGGAATCGGGATCTCGCTGCCCTTCGTGGCCCCGTTGCCGCATTCGTTCGAGGACCGGTTGCAGCTCTTCATGGCCCCTTCGCTGCCCTTCGTGGCCACGTTGTAGCCCTTCGTGGCCCCCACGCTAACCTTCGTGGCCCCGTTGCAGCCCTTCGTGGCACCTTCGCTGCCCTTCGTGGCCCCGTTACAGCCCTTCGTGGCCCCCTTGTTGCGCCTCGTGGCCCCGTTGCAGCCCTTTCGTGGCCCCCTTGCTGCCTTCCGTGGCCCCTTTGCAGCCATTCGTGGCCCCCTCGTTGCCTTCCGCGGCCCCCTTGCAGCCCTTCGTGGCCC